TGGGTCGCATCCGAGACAGGAGTTAGACTCTAGGTAGTTCTTCACGGTCCACTCAGTCAGCAGGCTTTGGCTAGTCTGGAAAAGCACCAGGCACCGGTGTTTTGACTTTTTGGGTCTCGTCAGTGGTGCTCTGTCCAGCGGACTCCTGCCCGGTTTCGGTCCCATGACTGTCTCTGCAAAGTACTCATTGCAAAGACGTTCTATCCACAATTATTTTCAGTCTTGAACTTTGTACTGGCAAGACTTTGGTTACGTTTGTTTATAAACTCACTGAGTGTTCATACACTATGAAATTTAATTAGGATTGGACATTTTTGGCACCGGACTTCCTTATTAAGCCTTATACAGTTGCACTCTTTACCAGACATATATCCGCCTTTAAATAAACTATTCCATAAGCTCGCAAGCGGAATATTGTCCTGGACGTGGAAAACGACTGCGTTGTTACAGCGCTGCATCCAGCTGACTACTTCTGTGGTGATCGAGTTTATAAGTACACTTTCGGGTAACATATGCTCGGCTTTAGATCTCGTCGTCATTTGCATTAATGCAGTTATAGGTTCTAGTGCGCGGATAACAGGCAGAGAGCTGTCGATGGACGACGTTTTGTTCTGGATAAGTTCATCTTGGGTGGTAAGTAAGTTAGTAAGTTGACAGCTTGGCGCAGTTTTTTCTCAGTTGGTTTATTGAACCACACTATTTTGGGTCTCATCGGAGCTTTACTAGTCGCAACCTTAACTTAATTACGTCCGACTGACATAATAGAAGAGAGCGAAATGAATTTAAATCACTATCTGAATTAAACATTGTTGTAGGAGCAAATAGGAGCGAACTTTGGGTAGATTTTTCCTGTCTGTGGTAATGTATGCCGAGAGCCGATGTACCCGCCAAATTTGTCGTACTCCTACAGGAACTGTTTGATCACACGTTTTGCTAAGTTAGAGCAGATGATGGGATTTCTTCTTCGTTTGCTGTTGCAAGCGGAGTATGCTCTCTCATCGTTCCTGTTCAACTTTGCCTTCGAAAATATCCTCCATCGAGCACTAAAGTGAACCCAGGACTGCGACGTTGGGTTCCTCTTCGTAGTTGGATTTTGCTGATGACATCCCTTTGCCTGGAAGCGATTCACAGACTTTCCGAAACATTTTGGGCTGCTTAACGATAGATGCATCAAAATGTTATCTGTATTTGCCTAGTCCAGCTGTGAGACTTCGCTTCCGGATTGACAACTCCTGTGACAGCCTGGAGCAAGTTTATAACTTTACTTATCTCAGGAGTTGCACCGCGGCTGGTCTTGGTTTTGGAATGCAATTTCGCAACGAATTGCTATACCTCACCTTGCATAGATTAACCTGAGACACTTGTATCTTCATCACGACGCTAGTTCCAATCTCAGGGGCAGAGTGCACATGTCACAGTTTGTGTGGTCCCGCTGAACATTTGCGAGACTTGGCCTGTTCGTGCGGAAGATTTGAAACTACTATCAGCTTTCGATAACCGCTGCTTATAAACGATTGCTCATGTGTGGTGGCAGCATTATCTAAGTACTACGGACGTCGGAAGCCGAGGACTCGGAATGGAGAGCTCCCGTCTCCATGGGCATTATTTTCCCGCACAGTTTACCTATGCTCGATCACGTACTGCGTATGCCAGCTGTTCGCTTCTTCATCTCACATTATTTACTTACTGAACGAGAATGGAAAAGGTGCTGCGATGGAGAACGGATGACGCGGAAAAGGACATGAAGAATGCAGCCTCATGTCTAACTCACTTGGGTCTGTCTGTCTCCGAGGTTGGGAACCACGTGATACGGTGTCCCTATAATTGGAAGCCTTGGAGAATATGTTTCACAATAATAAAAACACAATGGCGTCAATGCTACTCCATCAATTCTTTTCATCCACTATTCAAGTATAAACGAAACAACATAATATCGTTTCCATTTTTCGAAAACCGCCATGGTTCTGATGGCAGATTTACCTTTTTCCATTTAACGCTCCTGGAATTGTTGTGTGCTGTGTCTTCAATACCCGCATCCAAGGTGACAGCGTGGTAACAAACATTCAACCACTTGTCTCAGAATCTTACAGCGACGAGCACTACGACGTGAGAGTCCCACGTCATCTTGAGAAAAACGCAAATCTCTAGTTTGATGGCCTTTATTTGTAACTAAATACAGAAGTGCATAGAAAGGAAGAAACCTTTCACTAGAAATTATTATTTTCATCATTTTTAATCTTTTTATTATGCTTTAATTCTCTTTTCCCCCAAAGTGCTTAGTGGAGTAACTGCTATGTTGTAGTCTGTATACAAAGCTTTAAATGTGTCAAGTTGTAATCGAAATTGACTTTTCAAGCAATGTACTTTTCCTCCAATAGAGACGGTAACCTTTACCCAGTAATAGAGCAGTATATATATATATATATATATGCGTACATTTGAAGAGTTTTAGTGCTACTTCATAATACTTATTTATCAGAGTAAGGTCTTATCATAACCTCATATAATTATCTGGAGAAAGATGTACTTGTCAAAGTAGTACTGCTCTATGAAGAAGGTTATTCAAGTAGGTAAATTGCGGTTAATGTTGACTGTAATCAAAGCCCCTTCACCAGAGTTATTTAAAGGCAAACGGAGACTGGAAGCACAAATTACAGGCACCGATCTCGTCAACCCACGAAATTAACAGACCGAGATAATCGGGTGTTGCTGAAGATATGTTTGAGTGACAGGAAGCTTAGCTCTTCTCAGCTGCTTAACTAATGGAATGTGAGGTCCTATGTGAATGTATACACTTCAACAGTAGGAAGACGGTACCAAAAACTCTGAGACGCTGTAAGGCAATTAAGAAGCCACTGTTATCTGATACACAAAGGAAACAAAGACTGGCATGAGCCGGAAAGTATTCGTTTTGGATTAAGAAGTATTAAGACGGTTTTATTTAGTAATGATAGTCACTAGTGCATTCTGGAGAATCATGCCATCACATTTGTCCGACGGTTTCCAGGGGATGAATACGAACCACAGTGTCTCAATCTTCGTCGAACATCCAACAGAAATCATGATTTGGGGTTGCATAGCCGGCGACGGAGTTGGAATGCTCCATATCGTTGATGGTATAGTCGATTCACGCAGATATGTAAAGGTACTCAAATACTGAATGTTGCTATGAGCTCAGAGGCTGTTCAAAAAAGCTTCCTTCTTCCAGGATGACAATGTGCCGTGGCATCATGCAAAGGCAGTCACAGAATGGATGAAAAATAAGGCGTGAGGATGTTCAAATGGTCACCTCAGTGCACATATCTAATCTAAATGAAAATTTACAAAATACATTGTCATTGAAAATATCAAAGAAACCGCCAACGCCCGAAAGAGAGCTTAGTGAGTTCTTTATTGATGATTAGAACCTTATCATCACCTGCGAATATCTCTAAAAGCCGGTGCATTCAATACGTGCGATATACGAAAAATTTAAGTGAAGCAGGCCAGTCAGTCAAGTATTAATACTTAAACAACTGTATACAGTCCTTTCCTGGACGAGTACGATAAACAAGTTTATCTATTAAAACTTTGCTAGCGCTGCTTCATGTTAATCGACACCACAGTTAAACTGCCGTTATCGCTTGATACCGTCTAGTAAGGGCTTGATGAGTAAGAAATGTAAACTAAGGACTATGCCACGATTTTAGTGCAGCAATATCGAAAAACAAACATGAGAAATTTTGCATATTATCTTGCACATCTATAATATGTGAGTGGTGCGTATATATTTCAAGGCGATGCACGATTTTTTTCACGGCCCTATATTTTCTTCACATCACTAACGTCAACTGTTCGATGAAGGTATTTATGGTTTCAGTCATTATCCCAACAAAAATGTTGGACCTTTTATTAGGATACCTTCTAGTAATTAGTAGCATATGTACTTTGGCTTTGATAGTCTCGATGTACGCCCCCAGGCGACTGCTGCTCGGAGGCTGCCATAGGCGAGTTTTCTTATCGCTCTCATCGCCTATTTGTACGATAAATAATACGGATGTTTTTATCGTACTAGCGACATGGATGGTTACTTGGCTTGCCTGTCGTACTCCGGACAACAATGGGGAACGAGATCGATGCCTGCTGAACTTACAAAGACGGTTGCGTGCTAACCTGAACGTTTTATTGCTATCACTGCCCTCCAGCGCAGATCACATGTCACCTGGCGCCCACCGAGATTTACAGTTATCCATATAGCCATTAGATACGGACAGCACACTCCAGTTAAAGACTTTTGATCTCTCTTCTGGGGTCAAGAAAACCTCCATCTAACAAGCCAGAGCAACGGCTCGTTTGGTTCATTGAGCAACTTGCACGTTCAGTATCATCTCACTACTGCAGCATTGATTTGCACTTTGAAGGCAGGAAAGGCGTTCCGGAACGCGCAGCATAACACATCAACCTATCCAGTTGTACTAAGGTATCTGCTGGGAGCACCATGCCGTTTGCGTACTGTAGGTTTATTAGTCGGTCAATCATCTCCACAGTAGGCTTAAAGGACAGAGCCCGTCATGATCACCTCTGTCACTAAGTTAACAAGTGTGTATAGGAAAACCCTGGGCGCCTCACTTGTCGTTGGGATCTCAGGAGACACCTTTCCCAAGATTCTTACTCTGCTTTGGGAATTGCTGTAGCGTGGCGATGCGAATTGGAGGGGAGTTTCATTTGCATACCATTTTTAACACAGCGGTTTCATAAGCCGATGCACTCAACTGAATCAAAAGTGGCTTTCAAGAAAATCATCAAGGTCAGTCATGTGTTATGCGTGTTGCTGTTCAACGACTTAGCGAAGTTACTGTGTTCTCCACACATCCTCGACCTATTTCAGCGAGTTGCACACTGATGTGTATTTACCATAGCAAGACCGGTGAGTTATACATCTGGAGTCTGTGGCTTTTTGTTCTCCCAAAAGTACATCGAGTCACATTTACTTGATATTCTGACATACTTACCACTTACAGTGTGCACCGATGCAAATATCGCATATTGGACTCATTCGGCACGGAGGCGACGTTCAACCGTAATAAGGAATCTGCTTGGGGCGGCCTGCATTTGAACTTGCAGCAGTTTTACACCCTGTTCCGTAAGTGCTTTACTCTGCTCGTTTTAATTGAACACTGTTCCCACTAATCCGTCACCTTCACAGGGGCACTAAGCCACACGGCCCTCTCGGTTGTGTGAAAATTGTTCGGTACACACGTTTACTTGATGATAATAATACCAAAGAGTAGTGAAGTGAGTTGGATGGTATAGGTAGACATTTGTCACATCTAGATTCAGTCAGACAGTCAACACACGCCCGGTAAAGCACTGTACAGTCGTCAGCATTACGCATTCTAACTGACCCTTGTATGACTCGAACCCGCAACTCGACTGCAGCCAGTCTCTGGTTGAGACCACTGAGCTATCGGGGACATCAAAGGCCATCGCGACCAAGTTACTAGACGTGGAGATATTGCTACTCACTATTCACTGACTTGCACGGTGATATGGGGATATCCTTCCTCTTCATGGTAATCAGTACTCAAACCAATCTGCTTTTAATGCTAAAGTTTATTGGCGGCTTAAGATTGGTAAGGAGGCTATCCTTTCCTCTGCATTGTACAAACGTGCAAATCATTATATACTGGATGGGCGTTATATCAATCTATCAACTAGTCCTGACGGTCGTTGCCCCCCCCCTAACACGTGGTCGCAATCACAGTATGCCAACAGTCGGGTTACGGGTTCGAGCACCACAGGAACCAGAAGGAATGCGCACTGCTGACAATTCCTGAAAGCAGGAAACGGCTGTACAGTACTTTTTCGGGCATGTGATGGCTGAGTCTATATGTGATTTCTACCTATATCTAGCGATCGCCGAAATGTCACTCGCTTGAAAGTCGCTTTGTGTCTGTGCTACGCTTGAAGCATCGGTCCACCATGGTTGCCAACTTTGAAGACAATCAACTGCGGGCCATCACTTGCTTCCAACGCCCCTCATGTTTTCGATCTCCTAGGTAAAATATTCGTTGGTGTTGCAGGCTCTGAACAACTCATTGCGTGATGAGGCGTTGTTCAGCTTGGTCGGCTGAGCAACACCAACTACTGACATCGGTGTGTTAATGTGGCATCCTCACGACCAATGTACTGTACCCTTTCTGTCCGTTGCCTACATCCGCTGACGTGTGTCCGTAATCCGCTCACCCATTTATCGATTGGCCTAGTTTAGAATAGTGGGTCAATGCGTTGTACAACATGCCGGCTAGGGTATATTTTTGCCTTCCATGTGCCTGACGTGTTCTGCTTTGTGATACTTCGGCTAAGGGTCAGCCACTGTGCGTTGTTCTGCAATTGCTAAACTGTGACAGTTAAGTACTTAACAAGATAGAATATCTGGTCACTGTGGCGCTGTGCGGCACATTTCAATGATTGTACAAGCAACACAGAATCTTACTCGCTACTGAGGTCATCAACAGGACACGATCTTCCACCATACAACACGGATGGCTTCCATCAGTGCCGCTCACAAATTCACCAAAAAGCATTGGAAACTAAATCTCCAAAACCAGTAGCCACCAGGCGCAACCATGCTGGCTTAAACCTTGGGTGCACAAATGTCCCCGAATCCAAATGCAATACAATTAAGAGTAGACTGATAGACGACCGAAATGAATAGAGTTCCATCTGTACGGTGATCGGTGTCCATGCTGATCCCATGACATTAAGACGCATCTCGCGTCACCCGAACGCACTGCACTACGGTGAACGTCGGTTACTTCGCGTAACACTAAACTCGGTGAATGAGACAGAGGCCGTTCTGCTGTCTGCGAATCGACTTCTCAACGCCTCAAGTGTAGTGCGCATACTACCTGAAATCCCGTGGAAGGTACGTTGAGCGGATCTCACTAACAGAGAAAGGAACAGAAAAGGTCGATAAGAAAATTGATTGTTCATGGTGTTCCTGAGCTTATAGATTTCTCTTCCGACGATGCTCAGGTACACGACCTGGAACAATGGCATTACATCCGTGAGGCTCTTTCTCTTGAAAATGTCGTCGCCACCTCGTTGAGAAGGATTCCCGTATCACCGAAGTGTAAGGAGTGCGGTCCCAGGCTGTTGAAACTGGTTTTACAATCAGAACTAACGACACAAACTCTTCTATAGAATTGGACTAAGTTCCGTAGCAGGTTGCCAACAGAAGTTCGTCTGAAAGCAGCAGGAACACCGCCACCTACTAATAGCAACTCGGTGGGGACGCAAATCTCAATGAAAATACCAACTGTAGGACCCGACTCGGTGACGATTTCAACAGTGACCATAAGACCCGAAGGGACACGGCAGAGCACAAGAGACCACCGGGATCCGGGGCATCTGATACTTAAATATATACCAATTTCGTCTCGAGAGCCTGCAACCGATCCACACACAAAAAAACGATTCACTTGCTTCATCCATTCCATCCAACACACTTTTGATCTGCAAAAAGCTTTCATGCATCTACACAAATGCCGAAGGTCTACACAGCAAATTGTCTGAATTAAGGTTTCTACACGCGTCAGCAGTTTGAGACCTCATCGCTATCACGGAAACATGGTTGCGCAATGTGATAACGGATGCCGAAATCGCGCTGACAGGTATACCTGTTGTCCGGAATGATCGAGCCAGCAAAGGTGGTGGGGTAGCCCTCTACTTTCGTAACAACCTGCAGTGCGAACCCATACGCGGCTCGGAAACCGATGTACCTGACTCCATTTGTTGCTAAAAGGGAACTACCTTAGCCTAGTCGCTGTTGTTTACTGCCCACCATCGTCTACTCCTGAGATGGACTGCAACTCGGTGGCTGCGTTGAGACAGGTGATAAACAGAAGTAAAGTCACCTTCTACTCGCCGGCGATTTCAATTTACATGCTCTAGAATCCCATTCCGCACCAGGAGAGCAATTCAAAGCAGACCTGCAAGACCTTATCTCCTATTTTCCACTTTATGGCCAGTTAACTTCACTCACCAGCTTCAGGGGAAAAACAGGCCATCCGTACTGGACCTGATATTCCCAACTGAATACTACATGATTAAGAGTGTGATAATCGATACTCCTCCAGACCGCATTGATCATGCAACCTTGCATTTCATCTACACATGCTACGCTGAATACCCCGAGAACATAACTCAAACGACACGGATCACAACTAGCTACGACACGTTAACTGGACATGTTGAAGCGACCGATTGAAGTTCCCTGACGGAGGATACACCCGATATTGCCTGGGAACGTTTCGTCAGTAGGTTTAACATCTTACTTGGTGGAGCATCGAAAATCAAGACTATCAGTTCGAGTAGCATGGCGTCATGTATGCCGAGTGGGACACGCAAATGCATGGTGATACGCAACGCAGCGTGGTATGCCCACAAAACCAATCTGAGTCCTAGTACCTGGAAGGCCTATGTTGTCTACCGTACCCGATTAGTGTGCGAGGACTAAGTAGCTTACTAACATGCTTTATCCGAACGATTAACTTCAAATCCTAAACTTCTGTACAGGCACGTGAACAGTTGAAAAGTGGATTTCCCCCTCTTTGAACAGCGGATGGTCTAACTCGGACTCCTAAAGAAGCGTCGAAGGTTCTGCAACAACCTTATGCACCAACCTTTCATTGCATCCCGTGGTCTCTTGAATCTTTGGAATCTATGGTGCTTCCACCAGGACTCAATCGTATAAATTTTACGGCAGACATCATGATGGGAAAGCTGCTATCCATGCGCCTGCACGCCCGTCTAGAAATTGACGACATCCACCCAAGGACGCTTGCTGTGGGAGCTACTATTTTAACTGAATCATTGGCGCGGCTGTTCCAGCACTGCCTTGACGAGTGGCCCGTTCCAATTTATCTTGGGGGTAGTCGTTCCGATCCAGCTAATTATGGACCAGCAACTCCTGCTACTTCTTTCAAAAATTATGCAGGCTGTCAGTACCGTCGCACTCATGTCTTATCTGAACAGCTTTGTACACAATGCTCAGTAACAACACTGCTTCCGCCTAAATCGGTCGTGCACAACCAAGCTATTGTTAACACGAGACAGCTGGACCGAAACGGTGGTTTCTGGTGCAAGATTTTATGTGGCTTATTTTGATTTCTCTAAGGCATTCTACCGGTTGAACCATCGTTTCCTTCTCTCCAAACTTCAAGCATGTGGCATTGGGACCCTCTCCTCGGTTGGATCTGCAGTTTTCTCTGGCACAGGCATCTGGAGGTAAGGGTACATGAATACTTATCAGATCCCATTCTCGTCGAATTTGGTGTGCCCCAGGGTTCGGTACTGCGGCCTCGTCTATTCTTTCTCTTCATCAACGATCTAGTAAGTCAAAATGTTTACTCCACATTGATGACATTAAAGTTTAGCGAGTAGTCAGAGCTTTAGAAGGCCGTATCCGGCTTCAGAACGACTTTGACAAGATTTATGGATGGTCGGTCCAAAACCGCCTTCTATTCAATATGGCTAAACGTCGAGTGCTCCATTCACGACACCAAATGGTTCACACATATAAGCTGATGGACCAGGATCTACAACACTGTTCTGTCCAAAAGGATCTCGGTGTGCTGGTCCAGGAACATCTCGGCTGCTCGGAGCTGTCCAAACGAGCATTGAAGAAGGGCACCCAAATCGTGCAACTTCTAAGAAGTTTTTGGACAATTCGTACCGTCTTTTTTCCGCAAACTACTTCCCACTTGCACACGCCCTTATGGAGAATACGCAGTTCAAGCATGGTATCCATAGCTAAAGCGGGATCCCACGGCCTTGGAGATTCCGCAACGTCGGGCGGCCAAATATATCAAGGGGTTGTGCCACTTGTTATGCGATCAGCGTCTCAGTACTTGGCATTTTCATCGGAGAGTATCGGCGTTTGCGTGGAGACCTAATCATGACTTGCCAAATTTTATACAACAATAATCACCCGTGCCATCACCTGTTGAAGCTGAGTCACAGCAACCAACTGAGAGGTCATCTTAAATTGGCAGGACAATACAGTCGATTGGAGTGTCGAAGAAACTTCTTCTCACTGTGTACTTGTCACACGTGGAATATCCTTTCAGAAGCAGTTATTTCAGCCCTCACGTTAGCTGTGTTCAAAGCACGTGTCGACACTGGCCATACAATACTGTATCACTTAACCCAAACGACCCATACAATCAGCAGAAAAATAAAAGTAAATCAACCCATCTCCATTTTTGTCCAGAAACGACAGACGACGACGACGACATAAAACCAATTTTGAACTGCTCAAACGGAAACACTGTGACCGGCAAGTTTGCATTTTGCTACTGTTCACTATTTTATGTTGAAATTTTTGCCTTCAGTTTGCTCACGCCTAACCAATCATCCTGCGGTACATCTCAAGCTTCGGCTTTTTTCTCTACGATATGCGGCTGACCAATACAACGATGTGGCCGAATTCCTCATACTCATAGATGCGAGTTATCACGATAAAACACCTCACTAGTTTACCACTTATGTATTCATGTCATGATAATAATAGTATTAGTAACTTGTATATGAATGATTGGAGGGTCTTTTGGAATACTCGTGTCAATGGATTGCGACGCAATCTCAATGTAGCCTGCGCTTCACATTTAAGTGGACCTTGATCAATACGAAATGTTCAGTGTTATCGGGCCAGCAACTCTCAGTTTCCAGTTATTTGGTGCGCGGTTGACTTCTACTCTAATAGGGACTGATCCCTATGTTCAGTTATGACCATGTTCTTGCATTAGTAACATAACTGCTCGATTGTGTTCTTGTAACTACTTTATACTGGGGCGTCGTTTCTTTTTTTTTAACTCTTTTTGTTTTCATTGGCTACATTTTTTCGATCTATCTCAGAAGTAATCGTTGGACTGTCTTCACAATGAAATCATGGTCGATAAAACGTCCGATTTTAATGCGGAATCTTGCGTTTACACAGGTGCTGGTGGTGGGGCAGGCTGTTCCCCACGTTGGTGTATCTGACGTGGAAGAAATCTGAACGGATTGTTGTCTTGGTCCATCGTATCATTAGCGTACAACTTGTCGCAACGTCTCCGAGGGACCCTCTGGTGCTATTTTAAGGTACACATATTGGACAGGACTTCTGGTAAATCAGCCTGTACACGAGCGTCGAATTATGCTTCAGTCATTACCATCAAAGAGGTTCGTGGTGAAGCTGTCAACGCAGCTCCTGATAGTACAAGGTCGATGCTTTTCTAAACAAAAGTTTAGTGAAGGATCTGCATATATTTTCTGGAACTTCTCTTTTACGCTTGGTTGACGCTGCAGTATTCAATTAACAGGACGGGTGAAAAATTTAATGTGCTCGACTTTGGCATGTGTCATATGGATTTTATGTCAGTAGTCAGCTATGAACTGTCTTGTCGGGACTACTTTCTACTCGGCCCACTCAGCACGGTGAACATTGAAAAAGCGCCGTATTCCAATGAAGCCCATCAGTCTCTTTCCATTAGGCTTTTTAACACGAGTAATTTTGACAGTATTGCCAATTATCTGCCTTCTGTCTGTTATCTTTTTGTGTCAAGGGTTAATAAGCTATTTCAACTGGGATTGCGTAACACTTCGTTATTAGCCTATCAACTTAACTGATAAGCACCTGTCGCTGCACCTCCCTAGTTGTTTTGAGGCCTTGAAGATTTGTTTCGGTCTTTACCGATCGCCCTACCACTGCATTAGTGTTGACAAATGGATTAAATTCCAGTGTAAGACTCTCCCCCCGGACCTAAGGGGTAACTAATCATTCATAGCAAGCTCGCAAATTTCCGCTCTACGTTTCGTCTAAAACTTCGAAGTAACTTGCTTCCGGTTGCTTCACGTTAAAATTACATGCTATGAAAAGTAAAACGGTGCACACGGACAGCGTTTCTCTTACCAGTTCTGTGGAATTTGGCGACGTTGAATAGTGTGCATAACTATGTGTTAGTATATACCTTGTTCTCCCGTCATCTTTGTAATATCCGGTGTTCTTCCTTTTGTGTATTGTAGCCCATTCTCCTGACAACACATTCCTTGGGTTTGTGGCCGAGCAATTAAGTTTCCCTGGCCCTCCGATACAGTTATCTTCTGAAAAACCGAGAGCTCTCATTTACGGGAAACAAGCCTACATGTGGAAGGTTCGGATACGGTCACTAAGCCTTTTTTTGACCATGTACAGTTCGTTTTTAAATGTCATCACTGAGTATTATGCTTTCATGAACTTCTGTTAATGTGCTTTAGTGCGTACCCAATCTTTTCTTCCCGTACCCTCTACTCCAGGACCATGCAGACATCCCTGTGGCAAAACTGCACATATATCTTCGATAACTTTCTGTTCTTTTCCTGTTGCAATCGGTTCCAGACTCTGTCTGCACGATCGCCCCCTCTCCTCATTTTCGTTCTCTTCCCTTCTCTGTGATCTTTAGGTCAAATAAGAAAGTTTACTTTTCAGATTTTATTCTGTTCTTCGAGCTGAACAGTTTCGTTGGAACGAAACTATTCAGCTCGAAGAACAGAACAAAATCTGAACAAACCACCCGATTTACAGGTATTCCGATTTATTGCCAAGTTTCCCTTTCCACACAGCCGATATTGCCGCAGCTGCCTGCTTGTGTTTAGCTGTTTCCATTGTTCCTACCGTTTTTGTTATCGTTTTCCATCCGCGTAGTTCTTTCGCTCTCTTTTTTCTTAATCCAGAATGCAAATGCGTACCTAAAGGTGCTGAGTGAATTCTTCACGTTGCAATCCAACGTCGCTGATGCCAGACCCGGTGATTTGCCAGAATTTGTGATAAATCACGCAGTTTCGTACGGCGAGGAGTATTTGAAACTACTGAAATCCTGTCGGGTATGTTTTTAAAGCGTCTTCTGCACAAGCGCCATACTTTTTCAACGTGATATCTGCTTCCCCGGCTAACTCAGATATTGTCTCTACATATTCTATTTGTGCGCGCAAATTGACGGGTCTGTTTGTGGGCCAGTGGTCAGCTTTCTGACAAACGTCCGTTCGCAGTGTGTGCACCGCACATGGCGAGTAGTTTGTCGTTTTTCTGACCGTATTACTTCAAACTCGCCCCGTTTGTCTGGAATTTTAGAGCAATCCTCACTTACTACTGCCAACTTCGTGGGAAACAGACACAATCTTGAAGCCTAATCCTTATGTCTCTATCGTTCACCAAAATGTCTGACGTATTTCAGCATGACGACATCCCGTCCAGGTGGTTTGCAGATATCAGTCTGCCGGTCCATCCAATCAAATCGTTATACAGTAAAACCCCCGTAAGTTGATTACCCAAGGGACGGGACCAAGGTGGTCAACATACAGAGGTGCTCAACCTACGGAGGTTCTATGCCAAAACTTTGCGTAACCTACTTTCCCCTTGTGAGTAGTATAGTATGGAATTATTTTCACACTAACACGTTAGACGAGGTCTCACGTAACGGCAAACGTAGTTCACCCATACAGTGTTATAATAAATCAGAACGCAGTGTGCATTTGCGCTAGATTTTTTTGACGAAAAGGTCAATCTTTGTCTGTCTCATATCACAAATGTAACTGAAGAAAGCCCTCTCAGCACGAGCTACACTACTCATCATGTTTGGACATTTTCCAACATCAAATGATTTCAGTAGCATTAAAAAATCTCCGACTCTATCTCCCTTTGAATTTTGCATTTCCAAATCATCGTTACGATCTTTCTTTTTCATCATCAAGATCAGGTGTTTTTCTTGGTTCCCGTAGGAGAAAATAGCCTCTGGGTCTGGTTCAGTGCAAGTTAGCAATAATCCAATTAAACTATCCTGCCGAATTCTGTCAATTGAGAAGGACTGTCTAGTAAGGCGACGGCATCCCGCTCGACAGATGGGACAGATCCGGCTTTCCTGGAACACTTTTGTATAATTCCTAGCTGAACTTTGAACTAAGCGGAACTTATCCAAAGCACAGCATCCAAGGCATTAACTGGAGCAAAGGATGAACTTGCTTCCGCATTCGAATCAATAGTATGCAATTTTGCCATAGCCCATTGCATGAGCTGAACTCAGTAGTGCATATTGAACAGTTTGATGATCCCTCGGACCCGAGGTTGCGTTTCTGATGTCATGTGTGTAGGCAGAAACTTTAGCGTAATATTTGTGAGATTTTCTACATGGGTGTGACTAAGACAGTTATCCACTGTTAGAATAATGAAGCGTTTCTTCTACATCTTTTCTTTGTCGAAACTTCTGATCCACTCCTCAAATATGGCAGCAATCATCCACGCAGATCGGTTTGATCTCCAGATGATTGGAAGGTTTTCAGGATTTAGGTTTTGAACGCACGTGGTCTAGCTGATTTATCAATAACTAAGGTCTTCAGCTTCTTCGCACTTGATCTAGCGCACAATAGAATTGTGAAACCTTCTTTGGGATGTTTTCCACTCTTTCATTTGTCATCCTTTATAACAGCGCTTCTGTTAAGCATCGTCTTGTAAAAGAGACCGCACTTGTCAGCGTTAAAAATATCGTCATTGTTGAAACTCTTGCTAATGTTAGAAAGTTTTTCGCTGAAGTCTTAAACACACTCTTCGGGCACTTCATTGGATTTACCACACAAAACTTTGGGAAATTTCATGTCGCAGTTTAAAGTTTTCTAGCCAACCATTGGATGCCTGGCCATCTGCAACCACAAATTCTTGTGAGAACCTTTGAGCACTTTCTTGTACCATCGACACAGAAAGTCGAACGTTAGCTGCTCTCAATTGTTTGAACCAGCGCAGCGTAGCTTCATTGACTTCATCGTGTGAAGTTTTCCGTCTCCTTAGCTGTTGACCTCCTCTTTCTTTATCGTATCTCGCCAGGTACTCGTGTTTATGTTTTTTGATGTCACGAACTGTTTTCTTCCTAACATCAAAATGCTCTGTCATCTTTCTTTGGCTACTACTTTCCAGAAAATGTAGCAGACTAATCTTTCCCTTCAAGGTCAACTCTATGAGGTCTTCTCTTTTGACAGTACTGTTGAATTGCTCGTAACGACCGATCCTAACTTGTTCACAGCACGGAGTAGATCTAAGGTCAACGGTTCTATTTACGTAACATTAATTACATTCAATAACTAACCTGAATTGGTTTCACCCTCAGGCCGACACCAACTAGAGCCGGATAAACGCTCGACAATTAATGTGAACGTAGACGTCAATCTCGCCATACTTCAAGTTGCTTATGAACTGATGCTTAGACTTGGTGATTGCTCGTGTGTTTGAGTCACTCAAACTCCTGCTTGCGGTCTGGGCGATGAGTGGACACATTTTCTTAGGGTCAAAGGTGGGTTTTTCTGTGTAGTTGGACAGATGATGGAGGTTGAACACAAATCATTCTAGGTCATTCGGTGGGCGTTTATCTGTATGGACCCGCATTGATCTAGGTAATACGCGTGCGCGTAAATGCCGACGGCCGGGACAAACATCCACATCCACCAGAGAACACACTGTATCCTCCAACTTAAAGTTCGCTGATTTTGGGGTCAGAAGTCCACACATCGCAGTCGCGCTGCACACCGTTTTCGGAACAAACGAGCCATTCGGGAACCGTTGAACGGTATGCCCACTGATGGTCAACTTATGGAGGTTGAATTCTTACTGACTGTCATAGCCCAAGTGGTTAACATACAGCTTACAGAGTTGGTCAACGTACAGAGGTCCGGTTCCATAGTTTACATAGTGACCGTCCAAGCTATGTGAAAGTGATCAACGTAGAGGTTTAATTTATATGAGCCTGGGGAAGGGTTTTGATGAACGTACGTGTACACTAGCCCTTCAACCGCTGCATCCCATACCTGCCGTTTCGGATCTCGGCTTACTCTCAACTTGCGATTTGTCGTCTGTAGGCAACACGAACAAGCTATAAAGAGTAGGACTGCGCATGTTTTGGGCCCTCAAACGCATCTTCTGCATTTGGTCTGAAGAGATTGCCACGCGTCTATTCTCTTCCATTACAATCCTGACGCTCGAGTACGGTCCATCCACCTATTATCTGATCACCCGTGGCGAGGTGCAAAGACAGGAACGTGTTCAACTCGTGGCTACCTAGCTCATACCTAGTTCACGGGGTGTACCGTACTTTGACCAATGTAAACCATTAGGGCCGTACACCTTGTCGTATCGTCGATTTAGAGTTGACCTCATTATGTCGCATCGGATATTGCACCTAGGTCACTTCTCCATTCTGAGGCCACCGTTACACGTGCGCGTACCAATCAGCACTTGCAAGCACCGATACAAGCTAATGGTACTGGATCTAAAGCGAATAGCTCACCCTGTATGCTTCGGACGGTGAGTGGTGCAATATTAGAACAGTTTGCCTGTGAAAATTGCCGAGGCGAGATCGGTGTCGGATTTCATACAATTCCTTGACACCTACTTTGCGGATTTCAGCTATAGGGGGCACATCGCACCCGAATAGCATATGGCGCAGCTGTATTATGCAGCAGACGCTCAGGGATCAGTGACCTGACTGCTCACGTTCGCGTACTAATTACGTCAGAGTAACGCAGGCGCGTATCTACTAGCTCCTCCGGAATGTTTACTTCACGCTCCCAAGACTCGGAGAGATTATACCTCAGCACACTGTGTTGTAGCCGATCAAGGTGGATTGAAGCGACAGTTTCAGTCTGTCGTTGCTGAAGCACGATGACAAAACATGTGTGATCGCTCTAGTCGTCCCATACTATCTTCCATAATACTCAAGCTAATGTCCTCAGTTTCAAAATTGTCCAGTCATTCCTATGTTAAGGAAGCAAACAACGAGACTCATCTAGGTACCAACCCGCTGTTGGGCAGCTTTTTAAAAGTCAAGACGGAGTCTGAGCAGCGATCAAAATCTGTTGTTTGTAATGTAAGACATCATTTGTGCTGTACAGAAGTAGGGAGCGTCATTTAGTTGTGATGTCTTCACACTTTTTACTTAACCATTTTTGCATCTTTCGCGGCCTGTTTGTGTACATTTATCCGTACCTTCTGCTCGCTTAACTCGACTTCTTCTCCGTCTGCGTTGTACGCTTTGCCTCATGCTTGGACGCGCCAGCTTTTCTTTGTCTCTCTGACGATCACACTCTCTTGGTCCGCTCCCGTCTCTTCCAGCTAATCCGTTTCGCCGTTGTTCATGACAAAGTTGTACTCTGTTCTTCCTTCGGATCCCATTCTTCTCTCTGTCTCATCCGTACGTGATCAGTTTGCGTCAACAGCGACTGATCAGCCTCTGGCTTGCGTACAACCCATTGATCAGATTTCCCCAAACGACTACTTCACCGCTTTACCGAAACCTCCGAACTGACCTGGTGACTGACTGATCATCATGAGAGTAAAGCTAGATTTCACCCCTACAGAACACGTATTGGCTACGTTTCCACGTTCTTATTTCTTGCCTCAATAGCATCATACATGCGGCGTATCCAGTAGTCTTTCCTCATTCGAATGCTGCCTACAATTCAGTAAGTCTTATCTGTTTGGGTCGATGCTTCCTCTTGAGTAATGGGGTTCCTTGGCATTTCCTTGTCTTACTAAAGTACAGATTCCGACACGCTCCCTCCACGATCCTGTCTACGGGTAAATCTCAACCGTGTTCACTTTGACGAACAGTGCTCGTCAAAGTTGCATTCGCTATCCTTTTCTTTTTTACCTTCCCACCAATGTGGACACAAATGACTGTCCTGTCTACTTTCTCTGGAGTAGAAGTTCCACCTGGCGAGTGGTGGAAAAAAGTAGAACCGTTGAGGTTATCGGTCTTTTGAGTCAATCAGATTTACAGTAGAATGCAGCCGAATCGGATAAAACCGAGGGTCGCACTTTTTGTTTCGCGCTTAACGCCATGGAT